TAAAATACAGAAGCATGTGAATGAGATGATGCTGGAAAAGCCAGCAGGGAAGCCAAATGCTAGGTGCACGTGTCTTACAACACCCAGAATGGTTTAAGATGAAAGACCCAACTGCAAAAGGAGCTTCTTTAAACTGTGGTTTAGCTTAAATTTACATAGATACAGACATTTGCTATTTCCTTTACACAGATACACACATTTGCTATTTGCATTACACAGATACAGACATTTGCTATTTGATATTGCAAGTAGATCTATGCCAAGTAAGATCTTCCCTTTCCTCTTCCTCCTCAAAAAAGTTTCAAAATAATTTCATTGCAGCTCTAGCATTTGGAAATTTAAAATTAAATCAAGTTGCATTTAGAAAGGAAATATCATTGCAACATTTGAAATATTGAAACATATGAATGTTGACACAGGGTCTTACTTATTTTTAGTTATAAATTGTGGTCAAAGCAATTCAGGAGAAGCAAGATTAAGCTATGAAGTAACCCAGACAATCTTTCTGTTAGCTTGGCTGTGGCCTTAGTGCTCTGCTTTTCATAGAATCATAGAATCAAGGGTTTAGAATGGACCTGAAAAATCATCTAGTTTCAAATCACACTGCCATGGGCAGGGACACCTCTCACTAAATAGGATGCTCAAAGCTCAATCTATCTTTGAACACTGCCTGGTTTGGGGAATCCACAACCTCCCTGGGGAACCTGTTCCAGGATCTCACCACCTTCACAGTAAAATATTCTTCCTAATCTCTAATCTAAATTTCCCCTCTCTCAATTTTTACCCTTTTCATATCACTATGCTATTTATCTCACATATAGCGGTAATGGGTCCCCTTCCTCTGTGGGTTGATATTTGCCTAGGTTCACCCTTTCATATCTAAAAACCACTAGCACTTCTTGATTTTCTCATTTATATTAGGTTCAAAGCAACAAAACAAACATGGATGCTATCTTTTCATCAAACAATCCCTAAAGAAGCATTTTTCAAACATTCTGAGTGTGCTAAATCCCTCAGTTTTCTAGTGAAGGTGCAAAGTGCTGCACAGAGAATTTTTGGCTGGTAGGAATGAGTTTGTTCAGAGGCTCCACATGTAGCCCCACAGTTTTGCAGGTGGTTTATCACTCCCCACAGGTCTAAAGTTGAAGTGAAGGAGGAGGGACAATTGGTCCCAGCAGCAACACAGCTGCAGGTAAGGTGGGTCTCCTTTTAGGAACAGCTGTGCTTGCTTTTTGGGCTGGTGCCGAGTCCCAGAGATCTATTCACTTCCACACTTCTCATTTGGCTCAAGTTGCATTTGTCTGAGCAGCAATGGGAAGATGCTTTTCACCTTGAAAGGCCAGCAGCCCTCCCAGCCCCCATCTGATGCCACAGAGACTAAGGAGGAAGGGAGATCTGAAAACCTTGTACATTGGCTAATGAAACATATATGAGACTGGGGCTCGTGATGTGCCAAAAGCCTTTCAGCCAAGGGAAAGCACTGCTCCTTGACCAGACCTCTCTGACCATAATACACCCATCTTCCCTTCCCTGAAAGCCACTTAGGACCCCCTAGGCTCTGTCCTGACAGCTGCACGGAATCTCAGTACCCTTCCCACTGCAGACACCCTGTCATTCCCTGCAAATGACCTGGAGGGGCATCCTGCTTTCTGTCTGCCCTAGCCATAGGTGACCAGATGGCCTGTTGAGAAAATTCTGCCTCCTTTGCTGGCAAGATTCCTGGAAGCCATCCTGGCTCTTCTGCTTCTGGCAGCAATTTTCCCAGAGGACAAGGTCAACTTGTAGGGTGTACCTGCTGCCCTTCCTCTGTCTGTGGCTCTACATGGAGTTGTACCTGCCCTGGGCTAGTAGAAACTATCCCCTTGATGGTCTGATGTGCTAAAGGCATGACCCACACCAGAAAATTCTGCAGCTTTTCTCTGAAAAAAAAAAAATACCCAAATAGAGACATATGATGTCAGAATAAATGTTCTTTTGCTAGTATGGCTAATTTGGCTCTGGAAATCTCTGGAAGATGAAAAATCAACATGGGAAGGACTTTTTGATGCTATAAACTGCATTCAAAAAACTTGAATTTTAAGCCCAACCTTTCTTATCCAATACAGACATAGCAAGTTGTGCTCAAGAGAGCTTCCTTTATGATGGCTCCCTCTTAATTTTCTCTAGTTTAAAACCAAACCCACTGAGGCCTGAAAAAGTGTCACAGTATTTAAAACAAACAAAGGGATGTGTAATTTGGTAACTCGTTCGTAACATGTTTCTAGATCTGGAAGATGATTCTTATGTTTGCCAGCACAAGTTAAGAGGATGCTTTAGTGCTGTTTTTGTGGACACTGTACATGCTGCATTCCTCCTCGTGTGGGGAACAAAACCAGAACAGGATGCAAACTGCTTCAGATTTCTCCCACTGCTGACCTTGCTGCCACTTGTGCCAAAATGAAGACAACAAATCCTTGGAAATCACCATGTGTGTGTTTCAATTTTTAATTGAAACTTTTTAGCTGAGCTGAAAGGTGGGGGTGGTGGGAGGGAAAGGGGAAAAAACAAAGCAACACACTTCCCTCTGCTCCCAATGAAAAGAAACTAGAGCTATTAGATTCACTTCAATTGCCTCACCTGACCTGAAATGAACTCCCTCCCTCAGGCCTGTAAGAAAATTCAATTAAAAGGTCCATCTGTGAGGCAGCAGCTGAAGGGGAATTACTGTAGGGAGGTCCACATTTTCATAAAAAAAGAAGCCCCCTCTCTCCCTCCCCTCCTTCCTCCTCTCCATCTTCCTCTATCCCTGATTAGGCCTATTCCTAACCACTAAACCACAAGTCCTCCCAATTAACCAGATCTGGCCAAATACCCTTTATATGCTCCATTCAGATGTAGAAACACTATAGATTTTGTACATCCCTTAAATATCATGGGGTAGGAGAGGGGGAAGGAGCAGAGGACAGAGGTTGGAAATCAGAACATCCTACCCCAATTAAGTTGGCTGATGCAATGGATTAAAGGCTGCTAATATGCAAAAGACTGTGCTGGCAGTGAAAATAATCACCATAAGGCAACAACAGTGTGCAGCAGCTTAAAAACACAGAGGTGACAGGGAGAAAAAGCTGGCTCCAAGGACCTGTCTGAAAAGCCTTACCAGCTTGCTAGAAGCTCTCTGCTCCGGCTGTGCTCTTATGATTAGAAACTTGTCTGAGATGCTTGGCCAGAATCTGATATATTTGAGGTGTGGTGTCTTGTGTGTTGCTCCTATGTAGTATGACAGAGAGCCTGGGAGGGATTGGGACAGCATGCGTGTGTGAGCCATGTGTGGCACGTGGCTGCCAAGGAGGGTGAGCCCCAGCTCTGGTCCTGCAGGCTGGTGCAGACCTCGTGTTGCCTCCCACCTCTGGGGCAACTTCCATCCAAGGGGAAGCTGATGAAGGATCAGGAACTGATATGCCTTTATATTTTCTTAATAACACCTTCTCAGGTGCATGATGCTGGGGTTTGTAACAAATAACCAAGTGGTTCTCTGAGCTCCTGTGTGTTTTACTTCGTGCTAACAGAAAACCTGACTTAACTGTGCCTGAGAATGCATGCACTCCCTGTGCACTGACTTCATTTGTGCTTGCACAGTGTGTAATCAATCACTTTAAAATACCTAGCTCCCAGTGCTTGCTTCCCTGGTGTGGTGTATATTGTGCTGAGTTACATCAGTTCAGGGGGATTCGTTTGAGTATCGACACTTTGTGCTCCCATCAGGTAGGGCCCTTGGAGCAGAGCACAATTAAAATCTTCACGCTACCCTGCTAATAGATACATATATATATTGCCATTTGCTTAGAAACAGAAATGGAGCAAATCCTTTTAATGTAGTTAGGGATAATAAGTGGGAAAACACATCAACAATTCATGACATGAAATAGGTGTTAAGTATGCTATTAGGTTTTCTCTTTTTTTTAGGCTTAAGATTTAGTATTGAGAGCCTGTGCATTTTCTTTACAGATATTTGGCATTTGGCATGCAAGATATTTCATACTGTGTACAACAGTTTGGCAAATTGGTCCTTTGGTGTCTTTATTGGCTTATTTTCATTTTTTCATTAAATATGTAAAATGAACCTTGTTTTACTGCAATATCAACTGAAGCCCTATTAAAAAAAATATAGACAGTTAAGACAATAAAAGACCTTGTAAATCAACCAGAGATTGTTTATCTGCTCAACAAGATCATTAACGATGCACAGGGGGAGACAGCTGAGGCAGGGCCGCTGGAGAGAAGATGCTAAAAATTAATTTTACAAGGAAAGTTAGCTCTGCCAAGTTTGATTTGTTTTAGGGACACTCTCTTACTCTTTATTATTCATTTTTAAAGGCAGACTTTGAAATCAGGCAGGATTGTGATGAAGAGGTTGGGTTTTTTTTTTTGCAATGCGTGTTTCAGTGAGATACCCAAAATCTCACTCATACAAATTGTCACAGCTTGACAGACTTGGAACTTTATAATGTTAAATCAAGTCCTAGTGGAGGTGTGCTAGGGAGTGTGAAATAGTGTCACTGGCTGCTCCTGTGCTGAATGCTTTGCACTGGAAATGTTGAATGTTGTCTTCCATAACATGCTTATAATTAATATTGTGCATGGCACCCTCTATGCAGCTGCTCTGTGTATGGGGTTTTTTTGCACAGCTTTCCAGCTGCTTTCAAGCTGTTCCTTTGAATCTGCTACAATATTCATGCCCTCCTCCCACACCAGGCTGAAGGACACTTGGAGATTTGTTTCTGGTTGACCCTTTAAAGCCTAGATATCTCTCATGATTAATTGAGAGCCAAAACTGAATAGAGGTTGAGCAAAGAGAGAGGGGGGGAGCTGTCAGTTTTCAGTGGAGCAGGTCTGGAATAAGGGTCTCTCTAGAGAAAGGAGGGTCTTCATACATAAGCACCCTTTTCCTAAGGAAACCCTTGCCTGTTCAGGAAACCTTGGCCAAAACATTTAATAGCTCTCTGTCTGTCTTTTCTCCACAGATGAAGGAGATGGAAGAGATGAACAGAAAGGATGACAGAAAGATCTCTCAGAACTGACACAGGAATCTTTTGCCGAGCATAGTAAAGGGATTTAGGCTATTGAGAGGGAAACAAAGTCACCAAACACTCTAAAAAATAAGACCAGATACAGGCAGCCTACAAGATTTAAAATGTGTCACCTTTCTTGTGACCTCGTCTTTGCTTTTTTTTTTATTGTTGTTTTGTTTTGTTTTTAAAGCCATGCACCTGTGTTTATAATCATTTCATAACTTAAAGAAGTATTCTTCCTTTACCAATGATAAATTTGGGATGCATTCTTAATGCAAGGAATTAATGGAATATCCTTCAGCTATGTGAAATGAGATCTTGAGAAACTGAGTGATAGAATGTAATGGCATAGGCAATCACTTAGGGGCTAATAAGAATTTATGGTTAAATGGGAATACATCAATTGTAAATGACAGAGAAGGAGAAGGACAAGACTGGCCTATTAGTCAATCACAGAATGTCTGTGAACCTCTGAAGTGATGTGGCCAGGAAAAAAAAACCAGGTAAAGAGTGCAAAAGTGTATCTGACAATGATGTTCAGCAAAGAAGAGGAAAAGGGGAATATTAGGGAATAGTATTCCACCAGGCTCCCATTTAAGAAGGCTTTGTCTAGTTCTGACCATCTGCACTCATAAAGGCTGAACTCAGACTATAGCAGAAACAGGGCAATTGGGAAAATAGGAAGTTTATGTCCCAGGAGGAGGGTAGAAGAGTTGCACTTACTCAATCTAGGAAAAGATTATTTAATGCTACTTTTTGTCTCCAAAGATACAGGGTGCAGCAGCAGGACTAAGAGTTAAAGGGCAGTGCTACTTTGAAGATTAATGGATATTAGCTAGATACAGATGGAACTTCACAAAGGCTTCCCAACCATTCTGGAAAGAGGCTCCAGAGCAGCTGTCCTGTAGGAGTCGGAGCAAATAGTCTCTTCGACTTTCTTATGGCACCAAATTTCTTAACCAAAGGTGGTTAATTATGTGAGGTGGTCAATTATGTGAGGTGGTCACTTTGAGATACCAATGAACTGAAACATGTGGTGTTGAACGTTGCTTTCTGGATCAGTTTTTTTCATCTTAAGTACTCCCAGGTGTGCATGTGCACACATAGAGCAGCCTCTATTTTCTCATCATTACCTCTTCTGTTCTGCTATGCTCAAAGACCTGCTGCTTCTCTGCTCTTGACACCCTCCATCTTTAACCAACAGAGACCCACCCTCCCTGCGTGCCCTTAGGGTGTTTTTCCTGCTCCCATTGCAGCCCAAGAGCAAGCTGCTCAGTCCAGGAGGCTGGATTATATCACATTTTCATTAACTTTCCTCCTCAACAAAGGCCTTTGGTGAAGGCCCCGCCTTGGGCTTTGGGTCAGAAGGAACCCCAAATAATAACCTGCAGAGTCTCCTGGATTTTCCTTATGTCAGTCTTTCACACTGAAGCTCTCTTGCCTCTTCTCAGAACACCATAAACCCTGCAAAGTAACTGGGCTTAGGTGCTTGGTGTAAGGGAGCACCCTGAGGAGCCAAAAGCTTGTGTCATTACCACGTATTTTGTTCCTCTGTTGTATTTAACCATGTGCTTACTTGCTAAGCAGAGATGTATGTCTTGTTTACATGGATGTGGAGTGCCAGCTATAACCTGAGCCCTATCTGCTAAGGGCTCCTCCAGGCACTATTGCAGCATGAATTATAAATGCTCTTTCCAAAGGACAGAGTCGCTTCCCTTTACAACAGTTACAAGGACAAAGCAGTTTAGGCAGTGAGGCCAGCTCATGTTTTCTGCCCATTGGCCCTTTCAGGAGGTGTCAACCATTTTGGAAAATGAGCATTTTCCATTCTCAAGGTAGGGTAAAAATTGCAAGGATACATAAAAACTAAAGCAAAGACACAAATACCTTGTGATGTATAATTGCATCATGAGAGCTGGTAATACTGTGGATGATATTACCGAAGAGAAAATGATTGATACTTGAATAGAGAAAGTTAATGTTATTTCATTAGGAAAGCAAACCTTCTTTTAATTTCATAAAGTTTCTCTGACGGTCAGCAATAATTGAAAGAAGTTTTTAAGTTTGTCTTTCATTGGGAAAGTTATGCTTCAAGCCTACCAAGTTTCTTATGCATCTGCTTTTGAATATCCTGCCTGAAGATTCAAGAGGTCTGAGTTCCTGTGAGAAAGAGCTGAGAACTAGCCCTGAAGATATGGCTTGGTACCAGGTTTGGCTTAGCTGAACCCAAAGGTGATTAGAAATCGCTAGTTAATTGAAAAAATACAGACCTTGATTGGGCATAACACAAGTGGGCCAGGTGCTACACTAAAAAGTAATTAGTGCTGTTGTATGTGGTCATCAAAGTCACAGAGGGTTTTAGCCCCTCCTCTTCCCCTTTGTACATCTGAGTAAAATATGTAGCATTGTGCTGTGGTGCAGCAGTTTTAATGCTAAGAGGAGGGATGGACAGTTGGTGTGAATTGCACTGCACTGTGAATTTACAACTTCAGTCATCTTTTATGAATATTTGCACAGACATAAGCATGTGTTTGCTCCACTTTCCTTACCTGTAAAAGTGGGATGTCTGACTTCCCTTCTTCCTGCACACGGTATTTGTGAGGCTTACTTCGTTACTGCTTGCAAAGCTTTTTGAATTTACAAAGCTCTGTGCAAATACCACATTGCTCACTTACATATATACAGTAATGTAGGAGCATTTTAGGCAGATAAGTTTTAATTAGAGATGTGGAATAGTGCAATAACAGTAGGATTTTATATGTTCTAGTATATCACTGCCTGTGCTATCTGTAAAAGATGAGGCCAGAAATTACCATTGGAATTATCTAATGTGGCTGCCTGAGTAATAAGCCATAGTACTCTTGCAAATTGTTTTCCTCCCCATTTATTTACCTTTGGAGAAGGTCTCTGCATGGACACAGGAAGAGGAAATTTTAAGCTCTCTTATAATTGATTTGCTTTTCTCATTTATCTCTCACTAACCGCATAGAGTTCACAGGGGCTTAAAACCATTTTACTTCAATGTGATATTCAGAAATGTATTTTGTCTTGATTTCTGAAGTAAACTTCTGTTATTGAGTGAATACTTTTCATGTCAGCAAGATTTAACCCCATATTTCTAACAGAAAGGTTTCAAAAGAAGAATGTCTTCCAATGTCTGCATGGGTCTCTCACAATTATTCAAATTTTTCTTAAAGCTAGACCTTTTTTTCTTGGAGTTCGTGTATTTAATATGGACTTGACTTTTTCTGTTCTGCTTCTTCTGTTTGGGTTGTATTTGTCCAGCTCTGGAGTAATGTCACATAAGTTTATGAAGAGCTGCTGTAGATCTTGTATCCTATAAATCATATGGTCAAATTCTTGCCCCAGAGAAATCGATGACAAAACCTTCTATAGATTGGAAAGTACTTACTATTTTACCCGTTATGTTAGCATGAAAATGATGTTAAAGTAATGCTAAAATAAACTGTGGGAGCTTTTGCCTGGTAAGTTTAACTATTTGTTTGGATTTGTGGTCCATTATTCAACTCTAATGACACAATTTATTTGTTCAGGCCAATAGTCTAAATTTTTGTTGGTGCATCCTTATTTTCTTAATGCCCAAAGTCTGAAAAAAGGTATGTGTGTGGTCTTCATTGCCTACATGCTGTTGTGTGGTCTTTTTGCGCTTTTACTAGTTTATCTGTTTACTGGATTAAGCCTATCATAAATATTAGACTTGAACTAAGTAGCTTACATTTGACTAGGTAAAACCTCACTGATACATAGACTGCTTGTTTTTTGGTGTTATCTCAACTCACCCACCAGTTGTGAGAATCACAGAAAATATCTGGGGTTTACCTTTCTTTGTAAGCAATTCTCCTCAATAAGAATTAATATTAGGAATAATAGTAGCATGACAGCTGTGGTCCCATGTCTTCTGCCATGAAATGCCAGCCTTGATAGCATCAGAGTTGAGCTCTGTGGTCCTGGATTTAAAAGTTAAATATTCAAGATTTTGAGCTTAATTACAGCTTCTCTTTGAGACCCTGGTAAAAAGCTATGGGTGAGAGCACAGTTTTAAGAGCCTGCTCCTGTTTTACCTTGTAGCAGTGTGTGAGATAGTTTAGATAACTTCAACAGGGTATCTTTTTGCCTCAATGTGCTATATGAAAATGTACAGGATAATTTTTATTCTTGCTTGAATATGATACTGTTATTGAAACCTTCACTCCCCATATGAAGGTGTAGTTATGCTTCCTGAAATACAGTAGCACTGTGGAAAAATGAAATCTCTCTCTTGGTCCATTTTGACATAGTCATTGGGGTTTTATTCCATTGTTATTTTATTTTATTTTATTTTATTTTATTTTATTTTATTTTATTTTATTTTATTTATTTTATTTTATTTTATTTTATTTTATTTTATTTTATTTTATTTTATTTTATTCCTCAAGGTGGCAGTTATAGGAGAGGTATAATTAAATCAAATGGAGCAAAATCTCGGCAGATCACCCTTTCATCAACTCTGCTCCTTGGGTCAACACTCCCAGCTTACAAACTGATTAGGAGCAAAAAACTCCATGCGAAAGATTCGGTCTTGTTTTGCTTTATTTTGTGTATGTGGATAATTCCCTGCAATAAATCTTCCTGCACACCATCCCTTTCACTCTCTGATGTTAACAAGACTGAGATCTATGTGTATACAGATACACATTGTCTGTCTCGAGCTGGCAATGTCTTGATAAGAGGTTCATTATTATCCACCACTGTCAGAAGCTGTTCTGAAATGATCTGCAAGGCGAAATATCATGTATATATTGGGGATTTTTTTTTTAATTAAATAGAGAAAGTGTCATGAAACTTTCTTCAAAGGTGCCAGGCAGCTGTTTCTTCTGAGGCATGTTGCTCTTTTCTCAGGCAGTGGGTCTTTGATAAGTGTCTCTCAGCACCCTCAGAAGTGTTTCCCAGGTTAGAAGGATGAGAGAGAGGAGATGGCAGTCGTGATGCCACTGGCTGATAAAGCCAGAATG